TAAGCTCTGCGTTTTCATGGGGCAAGAGTTTTTAACATTTTGAACACAAGATCCACGTCCTAGAACGTTCGATTCCAAGTCTTTTTCAACTTAACAGTGAAAGCTATTCCACATCGCAAACACGATCGCTAAGCAAAAGAAAAATAGAAAATTGATGAGCGGATACCATAGCACATCATAGGTTCATAATTATTTTCCTTTCCAATAATTTTGGTCGACTAGCCATTTTTCATCTCTCTTTTGAAAGAGGAGAGAGTCCAGTTACATCATAAAGACGGCAAAATAGAAAACGAATATTTTCCTTTCCCTCAAATATCTTGTTAAATGGTCGCTCGTTTTATGTCTAAACAAGCCTCTATTCTCTTTAAAACTTACAAATTTTCCTTTTACATAAAAAACAAGTCTTTTATGGAAATAAATTTTTCACAAGGTTGCTTTCGTTTTGAAATGTGCCCCTAATCGATTGTGGATTGCAAAAACGTTACTAAAGGCAAAATTGGAAACTTCTATTGTTGATATAGATTCACAGTGCTGCAAAACATTTATAGCAGTGCTGGTAGAAAATGGCTTTGGAAAAAGCAAACATTTTCGTCTAAATAGTATCAGAATAAGTTTCCGAAAGAACACGATCGAAAATATATAACCAATTGTTGGACGAAATAGTCCAATTAGAATAACACGAGCAAATGACCGGTGTAGTTGTCAAAGCACCTGCTTATAGGAAAATTGTCAATAAAGTCCAAGAGAGAAAACGAACTCCTTCAGTTTACACAGTAGTGGCCTTTTCCGTTTGTATGTAGATCGATTTCAAAACGGCTGTATAGAAAAATGACCTGGCTCTGACAAATATCTGAAAAAGTCGTCAATATATTCTTTGGCACGATGTGGGTTGTCTAAAAGATGTTGTCCGATAGCAGAATAGCCTGTTCTCTTGAAGGAGCACTTTTGTTTCTTATGTTGGAAGGAACATGTTGTTTTATCCTCCCTCTCCCCCAATTATTTTTGTTGTGCGTCCTACGTAACCAGAAAAAAGACTAGCACGACAATTCATAAACTTTGGAACTCTTTTGGGTGTTAGGAACACAATCCTTAAGAATGGATGGAAGAACTCTGCTAGCGCTGTAATTAATAGGAGGATTGACAGCAAAGAGCCATTTTGTAAAACTGCTGTTAGAGTTGTGTACTTCTGAAATGTTGAGTTTTTGATGCTTCGGAATAACATTCGATAATGAAACTATCTCTAGCTGAGCTCAATCTTCAATGTTCCAGGATATCGTATTCCCTTGATGTTTGATAGCTGGACTTGTCCATTGTCACAAAACTTTGATAATATCACATTTTTGTTATTGAAATAATGTGATCTCTTTGTTCAATAAACACTTCTTCCTACTTTTGCGCTCCCAAAATTTGGATGGCTCTGGGTTGTGTAAAAAAATTCACACTTCAACTTGCGATCACTCTAATATGCCTAGGCTCTACTCTGTTCTGAGCAACAAACAGGATCAATAGACTTGATGCTATCCTTTGTCGTCATGTGGCCCCCAAGTTTTGTCTTCCAACCCTCCGGTGATTAAACATTTCATTGTGAAAAAGTGCGTATTGTACAATCACACCAAAACATAAGTACACCCATTCCTTTGTCATTATCAAGCTTGTTATGGTGAAATTCAATTCTATAGGTTTACAGCAAGTAAATGAGCATTTGTTTTTATTTTTGTAGTGGCAAAATACATTGTAAAATCAATTTAATGCCGAACATGATGTATTCTAAGGCCGATGTCAGTCGTTTGCATATCGAGGGAAGATTCAAGGGACTGCAAAACGCAGATTGCTCCAGGCATGACGAAAACTTCTCTCTGTAAGTTCAAAATAAGTTCGCTGCAAGATTTTTTGACTTGAACATAATTTTTCATGAAACTGGCTTTTTGTGTTGCATGGCAAATTGATTATAACAAAACTATCCTTTTCTTCACGAACAGGAAGTGTTTGTGCGACGCCATGTTTTTCTTTTGTTGTCTGGAAGTCCCAACAGGTCTGGCCGCGAATGAACGATTTAAATCCAGATTATTCAAAAGATTTTTGGGTTAATATATAAAAAGCAAGAGAACTTGACTGAATAGTAAGAAAAAAAGGCTTTTGGTCCTTTTTCTAATGTAGAGCTGAGAGGACATATTGTTGACTTGACTAGCGTGGTGATTATCTCTTTATATATGAAACTTTTAACGTAAAAGAACCCTTTAAATAAAAATGACCTAAAGTTGAGAACAAGAACTCTAAAATGTAGTTCTTTTCATAACACTGCACTCCTGCGTGTAATTGTAGTCTGCGTTTTTTTATTATCACATTGTAGAATAACGTGAATCAGAGGTACATGGCTCTTGCACATTATGTTGCTAGAATAACGTTCAAGTGCGAGGATGGCTCAGTTGTTAGAGGCGCTGACTACAGACCCCAGGGTCCGTGGTTCGAGTCCCTGGCATGACCAAACTTTCACCCAGAGTGGGGAGAGTCGCCAGTTCTCTGTAATTCCAGGCGTGGGAATCACGAGGTCTGGTCACATCGAGGAGAAGGACCAGGACACTGCTCGATAAGCATAAGCTTCTTAGTGTCCTAAAAACTACCTTCGGATGCTAGGTAGCAACAAATACAAATAGAATAATATGTATCAGTGGTATATTCCTTTCAAAATATTGGGGCTCTTGCAGATAATGTTGCTAAAAGCAATTAGAAACGATAGCAAAAATCTACACCGACTAATTTTCAGCATTAACAAGCACTAGTACTAGACCGCCCACTCGAATCTATAGTTTTCTTGTATAAAATATTATGCACACTGATTTCTTTATTCATCACTTTATTTTGATGGTTTTAGCATGCATCTTTTCACAACCAACAACCTGCATCGATTTTAAGTAAATCAATATTGCGCAGGTATAAGACATTGACGCTGAAACAGCTCTTTATAACAGGGGCATCGCCCCTTCTCTATATCAGCGGCATCGCTCGGCACTCTAAAACAAGGGCATCATTTCTAGAGAGCACCTTTTCAAATTAAAGGGGCACCTCCTAGAGCTGAAGGATAAATTAAACTGACAAAAACATTAATAACTTAGTTAGGAGACTGTTATTTCTTAAGCAGGAATACCTTTGAACACGATATTCCTTTCGAAAGTAGCTTTGTCAACACTTTTCTCACCTCTCTTGGCATTCTCCTCGAATGGAAAATACAAGTTCAGTCTTGTTTCACTAACACTGGTTTTACAACTGCTTCGAATACCCCTCTATCACTTTGTATTAGACCAAGATATGGCAATTCGTCACTTCTTCCAGCGTCAGTTGGTTGTAGTCATGTAAAAAAAATTGTTTTTCCTCCCCATTCACCAAGACTTTTGTTGTTCTACTGACTGTTTAAGTAAATATTTTAACAGTCCTTTTGCTCCGTGCTTCATTTCCACTGCAACGCACCTGCTCTTTGATCTGTGTTACTCTTAAATATTCTACAAGAATTTACTCGAGTGCCAACAACATCTTCGCAAAACTCATTTGAAGTCTTGCCCTTACGGAGCCTTATCTCCTATGATAATATTCAACATGTTTCACAAAAATGAATTCTTGTCTGTCAGTTTTGAGAAGATGTAGATCTTTAACTGTGAAGATTTAATCTATACATGAGACATCTAACAAAAGCCCTCCGATGAAATACTAATTGGACGGGTTCAAAGGGAAAAACCATTAATTAAATTAAGCAGTAAAACTTTATTGTCAATGTTTAAAACCTACTCAATGTTCTAACTTTAAAATCTAAAGAAATGAAAAAGCTATTCGCTCGAACTCCAGACAGACAACTACATATATTTAATACCTTCATATTCTCTTCTTTTAAGTAGGGCTGTCTTCTAACACAAGCTGGTTTTCAAGAGGCCTTGCGATAGAAATATTCATTGCAAAGGCAAAGACTGTAAAAAAACTTATTATCCAAGACCTTCAATAACAGATCCCTTTGAGGTGTCAAAGCTGCTGTTTGTTATCATACTGGCAGCCCGTTTTTTGATATTTGAACAACTACACACAACATCTCATAATCTTCTCCTCAAAAATATTTTTCTAGAAAACTGCACTTCTCTTGAAAAAAAGATTCCTACACTCTTTGTCCTTGTAGCGACTTGCAATAACTTATTGAGAAGTTTCATTGTCTTTATTACAAATAACCAACTTCCTATAAAAACCATCTCTCCCTTTCTATCTTTGTAAACTTCCATTTTTCTGGAAAAGCATTCGTTAAAGCATGTTCAGAAAAACAGTTTTCACTCTTGCCATCTTGGAAATTAGAAGTTCCTGATTCTACACATCGTAATTCTGGCTACTTTGCCTTGAAGCACCGCACCGCTTGTGTTTTTCAAGACCATCGTCTCGTAAAGTTGTTTCTGGTAATGTAAAATCAATTCAAATTTGCTTTCACTGCAAATTTCTTAATTTGCTACACATCTCTTTTTACTATGCAAGTTTTCAATTGTTACGTCAGCGATCATTTCTGAGATTATGACGTCAAATTTATTGGTTACGCTCTTGGTGTATAAAAGGCGATTCGTCGGTTATTAAAGCAGAATTTCAGATCGATTCAGCATCTGAGGTATTACTGGCCGCTGTTATCTTCAAAGGAAAGCAAAGTTTTCATTTTCCAAATATTGGGAAGTCATTTTAACATTCATTGTTAGAGACGTCTGCCATCTTGTGATCGTCAATCGAAATCAAGATGGGAATTTGTTTTTCCAAATGCAGTGTTGAAGATGGTGAGCTCTTAAAGCTTTTACTTTTTTTACTTTTAAATTTGACGATCCTAAAAAGTAAGTTAAATTTGTTTCTATGTTTGAAATTGCTTTTTAGAATACACAGCAAAATGCACAAAGCGTTCGTTGACAAGAAATTGGAAGAATAAGCAAAGACTGAATTCTTCTACAAAGTCAAAGAGAACCAACACAGTTGCAGGTGAGAATGAAGTATTGAAAATAATTATTGGTGTTTTGAAGCAAAAGAGGTAAAAAAATTGATTATAAAATCATGGTTTGTAAAATTATTGGAATGGCTATATGATGATACTTAAATATGCAACCACTGTACTGACGAGTACTGACGTATTTGTAATCTCGTTTTGTTTTTTACGCTAACTGAAAATAATTTAAAGGAAGATTTATAAAGAATGAATAACAAGGACTGACATCTTTGTAACTCAAAGAAATTGATAAAAGTGCTTTTACGCCTAGTAAATTCTTCTAAAAGTATCTTTCAAATCTTTCCTTTTAGATATCAAGCCTTGTCTCGATATTTCCCAACCATTTGCAACATCGACACCAAGAGGATGCCAGGCAAAGATAGTAAGTAATTATTTCAACCTATTCTTGTCAAATTTTGTTTTCTTCAAGCTTATAGTTTCATTTCTTATTCTCAATTTCTTACTTCTGTACTCTGTTATCAATTATTTTAAGATAAAGTATAGTTTGTTTTTTATGTATGTTGCACATATCCTGGTAATTGAATCCTTGGGCTAAATGAAAAAGCAGACGCAAACTGAATTGATTATGATTATGATTTTCATTCTTTTTCCAGGTGCCGAAAAGCTACAACATATTTTCAGCCACCAATACTGTAACATCCGATTCACTGGTCCACGACGTAACCATGATCAACCAAGGACAGATTGATAAAGATTCTTATGAACTCGAATTTGCCTCTGATTTTTTCCCAGATCCAGAATCAGATTTGACAATCGTCTCTGTACTATCGGATTTTGAATCAGATTGCTCTTCCATTGATTTTTCTGATGTAGAATCCGATTGTGGATCAGATTCATCGTGGGGATCAAGTTTCGAGTCAATCGCAATATCGGATTTGGATTATAACGACAAATGCGAAACAAACTCAGAATTTGAAGATGAAAAAGAGACTGATCTCGACTTGACGATTGTAACACAGATGGAATTTGAAGACTCGTTTTCAGTAATGGGTTCGAGGCTATCGTCATTCAGAGAAGAATTTGATTATTTATCAGAGGTAGAAATCGAGGACGAGTTGCGATCAAGAATTGGGAGACAGTACGTCGTTGATGAAATGGATGAATCGAAGAGGAAATTTGAACTGAAGCAAAAATCGGCACAACAGAGGCACAAGATGGTTGCACAAGCTGTTGTTGGATTCTTCAGATCAGCGTGGATCAAAAGTCGACGAGCCTTCAAGTTGAAGCTTTGAGCGCTTTGAAATCCAGAAACAAAACGTTACTTAAAAACTGTTAAAACGAAATACATGTTTATGACACCAGAAACATCAACTTTTAGGTTTCTCTCATGCAAAGAAAAGGTGTGATGGAAATGAGTTTTTAAAATTTCTGTATTTGATTTTAGACGGCTTTATAATTGTAAATTAAAATATGTGTGGATGAGTGCGAGTGATATCTGAAATTTGTTGGTTTTTGTTTGTTTCTTTCTCTTTGACATACTTTACCAGTTATGATTCATTATTATCTTAATTAATTACTACTTCTGATGTTCAAAGAGGATAAGGATATCATTTTGATATTAGTGATTCAATATCAGATAAAGCGATTTTTCAAGCCAAGTCTTTACAGATTTAACATACCCCTGATCTTCATGACATTGCAACCTTGGATCTCAGTCAAAACGAAATATTAGTGATATATTGTTTGTCTAAGCAAAGCGTTTCGACAAGGATAATGGTCAAAGTATCGGTGTAGCGTAACTGAGATGCGAAAATCTTAGGAAAAAGAAGACGGAAGTTATGGTTAAGGAGTAGATAGAAGAGGTCGATTTTACTTTGTGCAATGAAGAATATGGTCTCTTTATCAGTGGCGTAGCGTGAGCGCAGAACTTAGGCATGCGGTAACATAAAATATACGGCTATGTTGAATAAATGTAATGGTAATTTCAGTTTCTAAAAAATACAAGCGGTAATTAATGATAATCGTGATAGCAAATTTTGATTTTCAAAGTAACAAATCATTTTTACTCTAATTCTAATCAATCAAGGTGTCTATTCTTAGCATCAGAGGCTCCGATAGAGGTTGGAAAGTGAAGGGGGGCCAAGGCAAAAATTATCACCCATGCGAACAGTTTTTGAAAAAAGCTCAGTTGTTTAGCAAGACTTTCAGAATAACTCCTAGTGCTAAAACTGCTTTGCAAAAGATTTTATTCTTATTCATATTCCTCAAGAAAAGGCATCACCTAATGCCCACCAAGAATTTTTTTATGCTATAATGAAGCTGGGGATTCCCGCAAGAAGGAGCTCTCCACATTGCGAAATTGTTAACACACTGCAGAGCCTAAGCGAACAGGAGCAACAGTTTCTGCTCATTTTTTACTCTCATAGTTATCTAAGATGAAAATAGTGAGCTGTGAGAGTTGTTAGAATTGAAGATGCTTCCATGTGTAAAGTTTCAGAAAGTTAGACCCGGCAAATCATCATGTATTTAGCAAGGCTTGCGCTCAGGTCTACCGCATGCCCTGGTCCGTAAATTCTGATTATACTGGCAAGCCTTTTGACTTGAATTACGGAATGCGGATCATGACAAATAGACTCTGACCCCACTTTGACGAAACTTTTTCTCTTTTCAACAGTCACAAAGTAAAGAAAGGAAAATAATTGGATTTGAAATGATGTATCACGCAAAGAGTATTCGCAAAAAGCAGCTTATAGGTAGAAAAATTGTGGATTATCAAATATTTGGGAAGGCTTGCGCTCAGGCCGACCGCAAGCTCCAGTCCGGAAAATTCTCACTTCTCTCAGAAGCTTCTTTCGAGTTGCACTGAAGCTGCACTGGAGCATCACATGTTTCTCTTATTTTGGACAGGCAAAAAGAGTGATGTGGAGGGGCTTCAGTTTTTCAGATTTTTCGAATTTCATAATTTTTAGCGATCTGTTTACTTGGAAAAAAAGCCAATTTGGGGCCAATTGGCCTGTTGGCGCTAGAGTTCACTGCATGCTGCTCATGACAAGAAAGAGAAGCCGTTTATTGCGGAAATTGTTATGTATTGTGTTGCAAGAATTTTAGAATTTGTCTATGGATTTTTACGCTTGCGCCGCAAGCGTAGCATATATAGACGCTACGCCACTGCTCTTTATGCAGAAGGACAGAATGGGCAATATGAGATTGTTTTTGCCGCCAGAATTCTGACTTACCCCCTAAGCTCTGCGTTTTCATGGGGCAAGAGTTTTTAACATTTTGTCGTATGAACACGAGATCCACGTCCCAGAACGTTCGATTCCATTTCTAAGTCCTGTTCAACTTAACAGTGAAACCTATTCCACATCGCAAACACGATCGCTGAGCAAAAGAAAAATAGAAAATTGATGAGCGGATACCATAGCACATCATAGTTTCATAATTATTTTCCTTTCCAATAATTTTGGTCGACTAGCCAGTTGTCATCGCTCTCTTGAAAGAGGAGAGAGTCCAGTTACATCATAAAGACGGCGAAAAAGAAAACGAATATTTTCCTTTCCCTCAAATATCTTGTTAAATGGTCGCTCGTTTTATGTCTAAACAAGCCTCTATTCTCTTTAAAACTCACAAATTTTCCTTTTACATAAAGAACAGGTTTTTCATGGAAATAAGTTTTCACAAGGTTGCTTTGGTTTTGAAATGTGCCCCTAATCGAATGTGGATTGCAAAAATGTTACTTAAGGCAAAATTTGCAAAAAGGCAAAAATATTTCTAGTCATGCTTGCTTCTGTTTGAAACTTCTATTGTTGATATAGATTCGCAGTGCTGCAAAACATTTACAACAGTGCTGGTAGAAAATGGCTTTGGAAAAAGCAAACATTTTCATCTAAGTAGTATCAGTGTCCCCAATTAGCTTGTAAGCTAAATATTTTTTGACACATTAATAAAGTTTTTGATTGATTGATTGATTGATCAGAATATGTTACTGAAAGAACAGGATAGAAAATATATACCCAGTTGTGAATGGAAATAGGCCAATCAGAATAACACGAGCAAATGACCGGTGTAGTTGTCAAAGCAGTACTGGGTGCTTATAGGAAAATTGTCAATAATGTCCAAGAGAGAAAACGAACTCCTTCAGTTTACACAGTAGTGGCCTTTTCCGTTTGCATGTAGGTCGATTCCAAAACAGCCATGTAGAAAAATGACTTGGCTCTGACAAATGTCTCAAAAAGTCGTCATTATAGTCTTTGGCACGACGTGGGTTGTCTAAAAGATGTTGTCCGATGGCAGAATAGCTTGTTCTCTTGAAGAAACAGTTTTGTTCCTTATGTTGGAAGGAACATGTTGTTTTATCCTCCCTCTCCCCCAATTCTTTCGGTTGTGCGTCCTACGTAGCCACAAAAAGACTGGCACGACAATTGATAAACTTTGGAACTCTTTTGGGTGTTAGGAACACAATCCTTGAGAATGGATGGAAGAACTCTGCTAGCGCTGTAAATAATACGAGGATTGACAGCAAAGAGCCATTTTGTAAAACTGCTGTTAGAGTTGTGTACTTCTGAAATGTTGACTTTTTGATGCTTTGGAATAACATTCGATAATGAAACTATCTGTAGCTGAGCTCACTCTTCAATGTTCCAGGATATCGTGTTCCCTCTATCTTTGATAGCTGGACTTGTCCATTGTCACAAAACTTTGATAATACCACATTTTTGTTATTGAAATAATGTAATCTTTTTGTTCAATAAACACTTCTTTCTACTTTTGCACTCCCAAAATTTGGATGGCCCTGGGTTGCGTAGAAAAATTCACACTTCAACTTGCAATCACTCTAATATGCCTAGGCTCTACTCTGTTCTGATCAACAAACAGGATCAATAGACTTGATACTATCCTTTGTTGTCATGTGGCCCCCAGGTTTTGTCTTCCCAACCTCCAGTGATTAAACATTTCATTGTGAAAAAGTGCGTACTGTACAATCGCACCAAAACATAAGTACACCCATTATTTTGTCATTATCAAGCTTGTTATTGTGAAATTCAATTCTGTAGGTTTACAGCAAGTAAATAAAAGTTTGTTTATATTTTTGTAGTAGCAAAATACATTTTAAAATGAATTTAATGCTGAGCATGGTGTATTCTGAAGCCGATGTCAGTCTTTGCATATCAAGGGAAAATTCAAAGGACTGCAAAACGCAGATTGCTCCACGAATGGCGAAAGCTTCTCTCTGTAAGTTCAAAATATCTTCGCTGCAAGATTTTTTTGACTTGAACATAATTTTCATGATACTGGCTTTTTGTGCTGATGGCAAATTGATTATAACAAAACTATCCTCTTCTTCACAAACAGGAAGTATTTGTGCGACGCCATGTTTTCCTTTTGTTGTCGAGAAGTCCCAACAGGTCTGGCCGCGAATAAACGTTTTGAATCCAGATTATTAAAAGATTATTGGATTCATATAAAGAAAGCAAGGAAACTTGACTGAATAGTAAGAAAAAAAATGATTTTGGTCTTTTTTCTAATGTAGAGCTGAGAGGATACATTGTTGACTTGACCAAGGGCGGATCCAAAGCAAACTTGAAGGAGGGGCAGTTGGTAGTGGGGGCGCTGGAAAATTTTCGAAAATTGATGACGAGAGTAAGCTGTATACAATAATTTCAGATCCATTTTCGGAATAAACAACATAACTTTGAGGTAATCCTTGAAGCAATTTAACCTATCGGTCTCAGAAACTTTTCCACCTGATTCTCATTCTTCAAAAGGGGCGCAAAATTTCCAAAAAGGGGCAACAGACTCGTTTCAACACGTCGAGGAAAGGCAGTTTCCCCCTCTTAGATTCGCCACTGGACTTCACTAGCGTGGTGATAATCTCTTTATGCATGAAGCCTTTAACATAATAGAACCCGGAGCATAAACATCGCCTAAAATTGAGAAAGAAGAACTCTAAAATGTAGTTCTTTTCATAGCACTGCACTTCTACGTGTAATTGTAGTCTGCGTTTTTTATCATCACATTCTAGAATAACGTGAATCAAAGGTATATTGCTTTCAAAATATAGGGGCTCTTGCAGAAAATGTTGCTAGAAACAATAACAAATAAATAGCAAAAATTTACATTGACTAATTTTCAGCTTTAACAAGCACTTCACCGCCCACCCAAATCTATAGTTTTCTTGTATAAAAATTATGCACAATGATTTCTTTTTCCGTCACTATATTTTGATGGTTTTAGCATGTATCTTTTCACAACCAACAACATCCCTCGATTTTAAGTTTATCAATATTGACGCTGAAGCAGCTCTTTATAACAGGGGCATTGCCCCCTTCTCTATATCAGCGGCATCGCTCGGCACTCTAAAACAGGGGCATCGCTTCTAGAGAGCACCTTTTCAAACTAATGAGACACCCCCTTAAGCTCAAGGATAAATTAAACTGACAAAATATTAATAACTTACTTAGGAGTCTGTTATTTCTGAAACAGGAATACCTTTGAACACGATATTCCTTTTGAAGGTAGCTTTGTTAACACTTTTCTCACCTCTCTTGGCATTCTCCTCGAATGGAAAATACAAGTTCAGTCTTGTTTCACTAACACTGGTTTTCCAACTGCTTCGAATACCCCTCTATCACTTTGTATCAGGCCAAGATATGGCAATCCGTCACTTGTTCAAGCGTCAGTTGGTTGTAGTCATGTAGAAGAAAATTGTTCTTTCTCCCCATTCACCAAGACTTTTGTTGTTCTACTGACTGTTTAAGTCAATACTTTAACAGTCCTTTTGCTCCGTGCTTCAGTTCCATTGCAACGCACCTGCTCTTTGATCTGTGTTACTCTTAAATATTCTACAAGAATTTACTCGAGTGCCAACAACATCTTCGCAAAACTCATTTGAAGTCTTGCCCTTACGGAGCCTTATCTCCTACGATAACATTTAACATGTTTCACATAAGTGAAATCTTGTCTATTAGTTTTAAGAAAATAAAGATTTCTAACTATAAAGATTTAATCCGTACATGCGATAACTAACAAAAGCCCTCCGATGAAATATTAATTAGACAGGTTCAAAGTAAAAAGCCATTAACTAAATTAAGCTGTAAAAATTTATTGTCAATGTTTACAACCTACTCAATGCTCTAACTTTAAAATCTAAAGAAATAAAAAAGCTTTTCGCTCAAACTTAAACCAGACAACTACATAGATTTAATATCTTCATATTCTCTTCTTTTAAGTAGGGCTGTCTTTTAACAAAAGCTGGTTTTCAAGAGGCCTTGCGATAATAAAATTAATTGAAGGGCAAAGACTGTAAAAAGACTTATTATCCAAGACCTTCAATAACAGATCCCCTTGAGGTGTCAAAGCTGCTGTTTGTTATTATACTGGAAGCCCGTTTTTTTTATATTTCAACAACTACACACAACATCTCAAAATCTTCTTCCCAAAATAATTTTTCCAGGAAACTGCACTTCTCTGGAGAAAAAGATTCCTACACTCTTTGTCCTTACCTTCTCTCTCAATGCTGTATCGACTTGCAATAACTTTTTGAGAAGTTTCATTACCAATTTCATTACCAATTTCATAATGAGAAGTTTCATTACCAATAACCAACTTCCTAAAAAAACCATCTCTCCCTTTTTCTCCTTGTAAATTTCCATTTTTCTGGAAAAACGCTCGTTAAAGCATGTTCAGAAAAACAGTTTTCACTCTTGCCATCTTGGAAATGAGAAGTCTCTGATTCTACTTATCGTAATTCTGGCTACTTTGCCTTGAAGCACCGCGCCGCTTTTGTTTTTCAAAGCATCGTCTCGTAAAGTTGTTTCTGGTAATGTAAAATTAATTCAAATTTGCTTTTACTGCAAATTTCTTAATTTGCAACACATCTCTTTTTACTATACAAGTTTTCAATTATTACGTCAGCGATCATTTCTGAGATTGTGACGTCAAATTTATTGGTAACGCTCTTAGGGTATAAAAGGCGAAGCGTCGGATATTGAAGTAGATTTTCAGATCGATTCAGCATCTGAG